GGGGAGGAGGGAGGGAAGGGTGCGGCCTGGGCCTACAGCCAAACAGCTGTCTACAGCGCTCTGTCTTCAGGGCTCAGTGTGGCAATTCTGCGAAGGTTTTCCCGAACTTTGATAAACTCCGGGGCATGGTCCTCTTCCTTTTCTGGTTTTTTTTCCAGCTGAAGGAGAGAAAAGCAGAGATGTGATGTGCGCAGCTGCAGGGGAGGTGGTGGTGGATTCCTCTTCCCAGAAGCCAGGGGTCCTCTCACCCGAGGGGCTTCTCAGGGGTTCAGGGTCCCCACCTCTAAAAGGAAGGTGACCCGGCTCTCAGGGCAGCTGTGGTGACCCTAGCTTGCAGGATGCACCCACAGTCACCCTATAGGTCAGTGTGTGCGTGCGTGCGTGCGCACGCGCGAGTCCCGTCCCAGGTCTTTCTGCCCACTGTCTTTCTGGGTCCCCAGTGCTCCCCCACCTGGTTGAGCCTCTGCTGCCGCCTGAGCAGCTCCTGCTCAAAGGGACACTGCAGCCGCTTGGCCTCCAGCTCCTCCTTCTTCTTCTTCACCAGCTGGTTTCTCCGGCGGTGCTCCAGCACGCGCTGCAGCTCCGGCTTGCTGTCCACGCCAATGCCCCTGCGTGTGTGTGCGCGCGCGAGCAGTCAGGAGACCCCACTCCTCACCACCCCCCTCCCCAGCTCAGGGTGACCCGAACTCTGCCCTCATGGCCTCTAAGCTTCTGGGAAGCCCCAGAACGGGGATCCATCCCTGACCAGCTTTCCCAAGGCCAGTAAGGCTGCTAGAGCTCAAGATCCCAGCGCCAGCGGCGGCTACAATAGGGCAGGGAGAGCATCTGGACTCAGGTTTGACCGCAGAGAGCAGCTTTGGCTGCATTTCTGAATGCTTTCTACAGAGGGAACTGCTGGGCTGGAGTCTTTGAATAAGGTTATGCAGCCCACTGCTCTTAAGACCTCTCTTTCTCCGGGTCACCATCACAGATTCTGGCAGGTAACAAAAAATATCCGTTTTCAGGTGTTTCCTTAATTAGTAGCTACAGGGAACAGTAGTTGACATATTTAGCAGTCATTTGCATTTCTCTCTTGTGAATTTACTATGCCTCCCCCCCCCCAATTCCACCCCTCCCCAATCCTGGGGCTTCAACTCCAGCCCTGAGTGCTGTCCTGGGCTTCTTTTGTTCAAACCTAGTGCTCTACCACTTGAGCCACAGTGCCACTCCCAGTTTTCCCAGTGGTTAGTTAGAGATAAGAGTCTCAAGGACTTTCCTGCCTGGGCTGGCTTCAAACTATAGTCCTTAGATTTCAGCCTCCTGAGTAGCTAGGATTACAGGTGGGAGCCACTGGTACCCAGCACTCTGCCTATTTTAAATCTATTCTTTACTGGTTAAGAGATAAGAATACATTTTAGTCTCTCTCTCTCTGTATGTGTATATATATGTATATTCTTGAATATCTCTTAGATTACAAAATTTCCCCTGGTTTATCTTAATGCTATTGCTTTTTAGTGTGATGATGTATTTGGATGTTAAAAGGGGCAATCATTATAAAAGACAATCAGAGAAAAATGATCATATTAAGGTACTATGTGAAAACAAAATTCCAAACAGTCCAGTGTTGGAAAGATTATGTATAAGAATAGGCTCATGAACGGCCAATAGACACATGAAGAAATGCTCAACTTCTCTAGAGAAACGCATAAAAGAAATGCAAATCAAAACAGCAGTGAGATTCTACCTCACACCAGTTAGAATGGCTATAATCAAGAAATCTAATAACAGATGCTAGAGGGGATGTGGCCAAAAGGGAATCCTACTGCATTGTTGGTGGGAGTGTAAACTTGTTCAACTACTTTGGAAAGCAGTATGGAGGTTCCTCAAAAGATTCCACATAGAGCTTCCCCATGACCCAGCAATCCCACTTTTGGGCATTTACCCAAAGGATCACAAGGCCATACTAACGCTACCAGCACAACTATGTTTATTGCAGCATTATTTACCATAGCTAAGATATGGAACCAACCCAGATGCTTCTCAGCAGATGAATGGATCAAGAAAATGTGATATATATATCTATATATCTATATATATACACACAATGGAATTCTATGCCTCTGTCAGAAAGAATGACACTACCACATTTGTTAGGAAATGGAAAGACTTGGAAAAAATTATATTATGTGAAATAAGCCAGACTCAAAGAAACATAGTTCTCATGGTTTTCCTTATTTGCAATAACTAGTATATGTTCAGGACAAGCAGAAAAGGTCAAAAGCTACATATGATCATATAAGATGATGTTAAGCGAAATGAACCCCAAGATAGGGACACAGTGGTTTTTTTCTTAGTATTGTTTTTAACATATTTATAATATACCATGTGATTTTTTTTGTTACTTTGGTATGTCCCTCCCCCATTGTACAACCCCTGTTTTTTACTGTATTTGATTCTGATGCCCTGCATCTCGTATATACATTTTTCTAGTTTGGGGAGGGGAAGGGAAACAACAAAATGCTTAAATAGGGATACAGGTTGACCCATTGTAACTATGAGATGTACAAAACACTATGTTGAAAACGAACTTTACAACTTCAGACACAGGGATGGGGGTGGGGGGAGGGAAGAGTTGGGGAGGTGGGGAGGGAAGGGATGGTGGGGGTAAAACAAAGGAGGGAGTAATAATGCTCCATAGGAAATGTACTCATGACCTTACTCATTTAACTGTGACCCCTCTGTATAGTATCTTTACGTTAAAATATGTATTAAAAAATAGGCTCATTTACCCCCAACAACAAATCCTCAAAGAAACAACTGCCCGATTAATAAGTAGGCTAAAGACTTCTCTGAAGAGGAAATAAGAATGGCAAATAGACACATGAAGAAATGCTCAACTTCTCTAGCCATAAAAGAAATGCAAATCAAAACAATAGTGAGATTCCACTTCACCCCAGTTAGAATGGCTATAATAAGAACTCTAATAACAAAGATGCTGAAGGAGACGTGGCCAAAAGGGAACCCTACTGCATTGTTGGTGGGAGTGTAAACTTGTTCAACCACTTTGGAAAGCAGTATGGAGATTCCTCAAGACTCCACATAGAGCTCCCCTATGACCCAGCAATCCCACTTTTAGATATTTACCCAAAGGATCACAAACTAGGCCATACTAATGCTACCAGGACAATAAATTATGTTTATTGCAGCATTATTCACCATATGGAACCAACCCAGATGCCCCTTAGTAGATGAATGGGTCAAGAAAATGTTATATATATATGTAATATATAAACTTTCTCATGTAACTGTAACCCCTCTGTACAGTATCTTTACAGTGAAAAAATATATTAAAAAAAATAGTCTCATTTACACAGATGCAAATGAGACTAGAAATCACAAGCAGTGCCAATACCAGAATCTGCCAGCAGAGGGAGCTATGGAGACACTTTTGCCTTCTTGCTGTCACTGGTAAGCAGGGTGGCACTGCCTAGACAGTGGAAGGGAGACACAACTTCATATTCTGCCCATTGTTACCTCCCAGCTGTCCCTCAAGATCCATGGCTCTTATGCATTCTCCCCTGCATTGGCGCTCTCCACTCAGTGTTGTGACCCAGCCACCTCAGCTAGAGGGGCCTTTTGGGGGATACTGATCAGACCTTACACCCCTGGTTTTTTGAGGATTAAGGTTTGAGGCAGGGTCTTGCGTTTGCTAGACAGGTGCTCTCTTTCTTGAGCTGCACCTCTAGCCTTTTTTACTGTAGTTATTTTTCAGATTGTCTTTACTTTTTGCTGGACCCTGCCTTGGACTGTAAACTTTCTACCCATGTCCCCTGAGTAGCTGGAGTTAAAGGTATACCATCACATCCAGTGTGTCGAGCTGGGACCTGGCTGACTGTTTTGCCTGGCTGACCTTGCGATGTGATCTTCCTCATTTCCCCCTCTTGAGTCGCTGAGATTAGAAGTGTGCGTCTCCATGGTGGGCCCACGTATTTCTTCTCAGACTCTTCCCCAATCTGTCCCTACTCCTCTAGCCTGCTCCTTACACTTTCTTACCAGCCACCCGGAGCAACTTGTACTCTCCTGCCATTTGTGGGTGCTGTTACCCTGCTGCTCAATGCCCACCTCCCTGCCTGGCTGGTTCCTATTCCATTCAGCTGAGATATTGCCTCTTCTGAGAAGTGATCTTGGGCCCTCCCAGATCCCTCCTGCGGTGGGGGTCTTAGGCCCATTTATGCTCCTAGCAAGGTACCCCTCCTCCTCCTCCTCTTCCTCCTCTTCCCCCTCCTCCTCTCTCTCCCCCCCTCCTCCCCCTTCTCCTCCTCCTCCTCCTTCTTCTTTGGATGGTCATGGGGCTTGAACTCTGGGCCTGGGCGCTGTCCCTGAGCTCTTCAGCTCAAGGCTAGCAGTGCTCTACCATTTGAGCCACAGCGCCACTTCCAGTTTTCTGGTGGTTTATTGGAGATAAGAGTCTCATGGGGGGCTGGGAAGGTGGCTCAGTGGTAGAGCACTTGCCTTGTGTGCATGAGGCCCTGGGTTCAATTCCTCAGCACCACATAAGCAGAAAAAAAAAGCCGGAAGTGGCACTGTGGCTCAAGTGGTAGAGTGTTCACCTTGAGTTGAAGAGCTGAGGGACAGCGCCCAGGCTCGGAGTTCAGGCCCCACATCCGGACCCAAAAAAAAAAAAAAAGAGTCTCATGGAGGGCTGGGAATGTGGCTTAGTGGTAGAGTGTGCTTGCCTAGTATGCATGAAACCCTGGGTTTGTTTCCTCAATACCACATACACAGAAAAAGGTGGAAGGGGCACTGTGTCTCAAGTGGTAGAGTGCTAGCCTTGAACAAAAGAAATTCAAGGACAGTGCCCAGGTCCTGAATTCAAGCGCCAGGACTGGAAAAGAAAAAGAAAAAAGAAAAAAAGAGCCTCACATACTTTCCTATCTGGGCTGGCCTTGAACTGTGATCCTCAGATCTCAGCCTCCTGAATAGCCAGGATTATGAGCTTGAGCCACCAGTGCCCAGAGCTATTATTTTCTTTTTTTTTGCACCATCTTCTTTTTCCTCCCTCCCTCCCTCCCTCCTTCCCTCTCTCTCTTTCTTTCCTTCTTTCTTTCTTCCTTCCTTCCTACCTTTCTTTCTTTCTTTCTATCTTCCTTCCTTCCTTCCTTCCTTTCTTTTTTTTTTGAGGTCTGAAACCAGGACTTGAACGTGGTACCTGCTGCTTTCACTCATTGGCTAGCACCCTACCAAATGAACCATGCCTCTAACACCACAAGGTCCCCATTTTACTGTTGGACGAAGGGCCTGTCTTCCTCCCTGAGGGCCCCTTTTTTTGTTATCTAGGTGTGTGCACATAGTAGGTGCTTAGTAAACGCATCTGGAGTGCAGTGAGTGTCTGGGAGGAGAATGGGGCTGCAGGGGCCTCAGGTTCTCAGGGGCCCCCAGAGGATGGACCCTCACGGATTGTGCTGGTGACCACATTTGGGTCATCCACTCCCCTGCAGAACCTGCCTGTCCTCCATGAAGGGACTCTCCCAGTCCCAGGGGCCTGCAGAGTGTTGGGGAGGGGGCAGGAGGCAGAAATCCTACCTTCTGTGGTTCATCAGCAGCTCTCGATGCAGCTCCTGGTGACTCCGGGAGGCCTTCACGGGATTCAGCAGCTTCTTGGGCTTGATGAGCTCTGGGTTCCAGTCTCTGTACTCTGGCCGGGCCATGAGACCCCCGATGTCTGCTCGTTCCCTCTGGATCTCTGAGTACATGGAGGCTGTGGAGATGGGCAGAGGAGATGGTCAGGGCTAGCCCATGCCCCCGTCTGCGCATTCAGGCCAGTTGAGGTGCAAGGTCTTCATGTCAGATAGGTCTGTGCTAATGGAGACTATGTAATTCCCGGGGAAGCTGCCTGGCTTTCTGAGCTTTTTTGGTTACTCATCTGGCAGGTGGAACTAGTCATTGAACCTTTGCACAGGGTGGTGATAAGTACTAGAGGGGATGTTTATAAAATATTGGGGGTATACAAAGGAAATGGTACTGGATCTGAGCCAGGCATGGTGGTGCATGCCTGCAATCCCAGCTGTGCACAAGGTATAGGTAGGTTTGCATACTGAGGTTGTCCTAGACAAAAAGTGTGGGGCACTATCTAAAAATTAACTAAGTGAAGGGGATAAAAAGGACTGGAATATATGGTTGAAGTGGTAGAGATCTGAGTTCAAACCTCATATTGTACAAGCAGGTGGAGGAGGAGGAGTAAGTTGTACTGTGTAACAAATACGGGTTCATGCCTGTATATACTTTTGGCCTGACCTTGCAAAAAAATTTCCCCTACAACAACAGGGATTGTTGTATTGGAGTTTCCTTTTCCATGAGCTTGTTCCAGAAAAAGAAAGGCGAGTGGAGGTTCACACCTGTAATCTTAGTTACTCAGGAGGCTGAGATTTGCCGATCCAGAGGTTCAAAGCCTGCCCGGCAGGAAAGTCCATGAGACTCTTATCTCCAATGAACCACAGGAAAACTGGAAGTGGAGCTGTGGCTTGAAGTGGTAGAGCACTTGAGCAAAAAAGCTCACAGACAGGGCCCAGGGCTGGAGTTCAAGCCCCAGAACCAGCACACCTGCACACCTGCACACCTACACACCTGCACACACACACACACAGAATATTTATTAAATACAATTTAAAAGAATGCGCAGATTGAAGGGAAATATCACTTGCTCATGTCCAACACCCGGGTCACTGTTCCAAATGTGCTTGTGGAGGGGTCTGGCTCTTCAGCCTCTCTGTACAGCAGAGCAGAATGGGAGGTGCAGTCCCTACAGCCCTGTGGCAGGTGACAAAGAGCGGGGTGTGGTCTTTTATGCAAATGTTGTCTGGCTGTCCAGGCATGACTTCCAGCAGAGCAGCTGGAAAGTTATCAGTGCAGTGGAAATTCTAGCAGGATGGGGCCCGGGGTCACAAACTGACTCCTTATTCCTGAAGTACTTGTATGTGTGTGTGTGTGTGGGCGAGAGGGAGAATGCACATGAACACGTTTCAATGGACGGGCCACTGTATCACCATTATTTACTCTGGACACCAGTTCTACCTCCTCCATGAGTGCTACTTTCCAGAGGCCAAGCATGGGCAGTGCCTGAGCTGATCAACACTACCCATTTAATCAGTATTGGTAATAAAACAGTTGAGGTTTTTGTCTTGGGGCCCCAGAGTCCGAAGGCTCATGGCCTCCATGTGGCAGCTGAGGGAGGGGTCCCCATAGCAGTCCCCAGGCTTCTACATCCCCCCCCCATCAAGTTGCCTGTGGCCACATTGTGTGTGTGTGTGGGGGGGGGAAGTTGGAGGAAGCCAGCCAGCCTGATATAGTTAAGGGATGTACAGAATTTCAAGTCTCCCAAGTCCTCAGGTAACTAGAGGGAGATATGGTCTAGGAACAAACCTAGAAGTGGCCTATGCTGGCTGGGCTCAGCATGTGCTCACAGAGGACTGAGGGGTGCGGGGGATAGTGAGCAAAGGTCAGGGACCATGTCTGGGGAATGTTGGTGCTGTATGGGGACTGTGCTTGGCATTGCTGGCTCACCAGCAGTGGGCAGGGGCCTATTCCAGTATCCAGTCAGATCACCCTATATAAGTACCAGGGAGTCTGGGAAGCCAATCGAGGGTCAGAATACAGAAATGTGACTGTTGTTTGCTTCTGGCATTAGCATTCCCAGATCCATTTCTAGAATGTGGATTCTAAGCAACTTCTTTTCTTCTTATCTTTTTTTTTTCATAAGGTTATTTGTTTTCATATGATATCTTTTCTAAATTTTTGTTTTGTTGTTTTGTTTTGTGCCAATACTGGAGCTTGAACTCAGGGCCTGGATGCTGTCCTTGGCTTTTTTGCTCAAGCCTGTTGCTCTACCACTTGAACCCGCAATTCTACTTCTGCCTATTTGGTAGTTAATTGGAGATAAGAATCACACAGATTTTCCTGCCCAGGTTAGCTTTGAACCGTGATCCACAGATCTCACCCTCCTGAGTCGCTAGGGAGAGGGTAAACAATAACAGAGCTTGCATGTCTCACCCTTGTGGGCTTCCTAGCCTAGACTCACAGAGCAGAACTAAGCAAGCAAGGTACTTGTTCTATCAGAAAGAGCCAGCATCCCAGGCAGGCAGTTACCTACACCTGCACACATCCGTGAAATCAAACTGCTGAGGAAGGGAGCAGAAGGCTCTGTGTTGAGTGAATGACCGGCGTTAGCCAGGTGCAGGGGAGGGCTGGTGGCTGGAGGTGACATTTACTAGGGAAGGCGGCCTGGGGGCCAGCCTGTGTGACTCACGCACCTTAACAAGCGGGGTCTGTTCAGGGAACACAAAGGCGCAGTGTGCCTGCCGTGCGGAGGGCCGGCCAGCAGCGTTCTGTTCCGAGTGAGGGTGGACGGGTGGGTTCAAGCTGGGCAAAGGGCGAGTCTGAGTGGATTTTGAAAAGGTCCTTCTGGCTGCTGTGTTTGGACAGCGGTCAGCAGGTTTGGGGGAATTTTATTATTGTTATTGTTTGAATGACTGGTTTCCTTCGCTTCCAGTGGGCAGTTTTGGGTCTGCCTTCCATTAAATTCCTCAGGAAAAACCTCTGATTGGTCTGGCTGGGAATGAATAACCCCCCAGGCTGCTGGCAGCATTGGGGTGGCCATGGGGTGGCCGCATCCTACAGGAAGATGCCCTACAATGACTGACATTCCTGACGCATTTTCAACAAGGCCCTGCATTTCTGTAACCCACATCAACCACTGACCAGCCCTCGCTCGTCTCAGGCTCTCCTTCCCCCCTTCCCACATGACATCAGTGCCTAGCTGTCATGATGTGGCAGGGGAGGCTGGGTTCCCCCAGAGGATAGTTGGGAAACTATCCTTTGCCAGGCTGGTGCCAGACTCCAACAGGTGGCATGTGTGAAGTTGCCCCCCCACCACTCCCCTCCCATGTGCCAACTAAGGGGTAGTGCAGGGAGGGAGGAAGGTATTAAGAATTGCAAAACCTGGGGGTGGGAAGATGGCTCAGTGGTAGAGCGCTTGCCTTGCATGCATGAGGCCCTGGGTTCAATTCCTCAGCACCACATAAGCAGGAAAAAAAAAGCCGGAAGTGGCACTGTGTCTCAAGTGGTAGAGCTCTAGCCTTCAGCTGAAGAGCTGAGGGACAGCGCCCAGGCCCAGAGTTCAGGCCCACGACCGGACCCAAAAAAAAAGAGTACATTTCTGGGGGAGGCTGGGAAGGGATGTGAAGGGTAAACAAAGGAGGAGGCTGCAATGCTTGGTAAGAAATGTATGCATTATCCTGCCCATGTAATTGTAACCCCTCTGTACAGTATGTTCACAAATAAAATAAAAGTTAAAAAAAA